TCCACGACGGCAGGTGCTGCTGCTGCTACACCGGACATTGCAACAACGTTTCGCAAATCTTGGCATATTTATCGCGCAGCCTGTCACGCAGCTTAAGTTCCGTTTCTCGGCTAGCGTCGTCCCGGTCGTGCTCCCAGTATAATGTTCTAGGCAAGAAAAACAAAACATTCAAGGTGTCAGAATACCGGGCTGCCAAGCATGCAATTATTCACAACCAAAGTTAGCCCGATGATAGGCACTGTCGGCACTGCCAGCACAGCGCGGCATCCTTGAGGCACACTGAGAAAAAAGTTGGCGTAAAATAAGCGTGTAGAGTGACCAACACTTGTATTTTGTCCATAAATCTTTTGTTCATTCAGCTTTTTGTCAGGGGGCTCATCATTTGACCTTTTCTTTATTTGAGATTTGTTCATTCAACCTTTTGCCCAATCGACCTTTTCTCCATTCGACCTTTTCTCCATTTGACCTTTTTGACGTAGGACTACGTCTTTAATTTCTATATTGGGGGTCACAATAAAAAAAAACGAAATTCAGTCATGTAATGAAAAATCCCAAACACGGACGCAACGATAGAGCGCAAATCGAACAAACGACACATTGTGCTTGCTCACAAGAGCAAGCGCAATGCTCGGTTGATCGCTCACCAGTTCACCACTGAAAGGAAGAAAGGAGAAAAGCAGCGATTGTAAAAACGCTTGGCAAATCTTCTTTTCTTCGTCATTTGCTTTCGAGCAACGGACGAATAAGCGTCAGAAACGACGCATGAGTGGAACAGCACGCATCGCAACAATACGAAGACGACCACGACAACGAAAGCACCCACATCGACCGGAGGAAAGGCTTCCCGCAATAGGAAGCATGATTTGGCATCGACTTGCACTGGTGTGGCCACCATTTGAAGAACAACCGGCCCTTTTCAGGGCCACCAATTTGAAAACGGAAAGAGTTAAGAACTAAATTATCAACATAGTTGTTCCGTCCACTAGCGGTCCTACGTCAAGCTTCCGTTTGTGCCCCTAGGCACAGACCCATCTACTTTTTCCATTTAACCGTTTGTGCATTCGACCGTTTTTCCATTCGACCATTTCTCCATTCGACCTTTTCTCCATTCGACTTTTTCTCCATTTGACTATTTGTTAATTCGACCATTTGTGCATTCGACCTTTTGTCTATTCGACCGTTTGCCCATTCGACCATTTGTCCATTCAACCTTTTGTCTATTCGACATTTTGTCCATTTGACCTTTTTTTTTCCATTAGAACTATTGTCTAAAGGGTGTCCACGATGAAATTGCCACACACAAAATTGATTCGCAAAATTCGAGTTTTTATCCGATTGCCATCAAATTTTCAGGGATTGAGAAATAACTATTAAACTTCATTTTACCATTTTACTCGTATTTTATTTACAGTCCATACGCAAATGCCCGCACCTTGGCCTTAACCCCGGCCATAAGATTCTGCACAACCTGTGAATCAACCGTTTTTTGCATGTAAACCCATACTTTCTTCAGTTCCTCGACTGTCTTCACTACCTTAGGTCGTTTAAGAAGGTGCTGCTTCATAATCGCCCAGTACTTCTCGATGGGGCGGAGCTCCGGAGTGTTGGGAGGGTTGAACATTTTCGGCACGAAATTGACCTTATTGTCCGCATACCACTTCAGCACGTCCTTGGAGTAGTGGCATGAGGCCAAATCCGGCCAGAAGATTGTTGGGACGTTGTGGGCCTTCAGGAGAGGAAGCAGCCGCTTCTGGAGGCACTCTTTTATGTACACCTGTCCGTTCATCGTGTCCTGGGTCACGAAAGGTGCACTTGTAAATAATGCATTATGAACTAAATCCACCCAAATTTTCATTAAATTCTACCCAACGGTTAAAAAGTTAGAGCAATTTCATAGTGTGGCAATTTCATCGTGGACACCCTTTATTCGACCATTTGTCCATTAGACCTTATGTCCATTCATCTTTTTATCAATCTTCTCATCATTCGACCTTGTGTCCATTTGAGAAGCATGTTTAATTCTTAAAGTCAATCTATAATATCTTTACAACGGTACCAAAAAATTCAAATTTGGTCAAAAAATGACAACGTTACAGGCTCAAACGTGAATTTTTTTTTATCAAGAATATCCGTATACACAATACTTTATTTCAATTATAACTATACCAGAATATTATTTCAGAAGCATACTTTGTTGCAAAAGTTCTTAGTACACGTAATTATCATTAAATTAGTGCCCAAGATTCAAATTGGGTTAAAAACTACAAAGTAGATTGATTTTTGACGTAGGACTACGTCTGTGATTTCTATATTGGGGTACACTTTTAAAAACCGAAAATGGAACAAGTAACAAACTTTTGAAAGATTTCGAACGTTAATAACTCAGCTGCCCCTGGACCAATTTCAATAACTTTATCACCAATCGATCAGAAATATGTCTACGCAATTGTTAATATTAAAACTTTATCATTATTCAAAATGACACTGTTGAAATTTTCCCGAATGTGTAACTGTTGCTATGATGATTTAAATTATCACCGATTGGCTGCGACAAGCGATTTCTCTTACACAGATTTCAAAGTTGAACTCTATCTGGTCTCACCAAACGGTGTTTATTTTAATCACCGGTTGGTTAGTGGTGGTGTTCTCCAGTACACCACGAAATGCTCCCCGCGAGCAGCTAGCGACCAAGGCTGGCCTCAACCGCTGATCGGATTTCCAATCTCCGTGTGTGGGGGTGTCCGGTCCGTCGGCATCAGCTGCAGCAGCAGCATTGCTTTCGGCTCGTGTCGTTGAAGATTGTTCTCCAGTACACAACGAAAGGCTGCCTGCAAGCAGTGAGCTGCAGCCTACATGAGCATCCATAGAAGAAGGAAGAAGTCGTGAGTCACTCTGGGCAATCTACGCCAAGCGCGTCACCTTCATTCCAAACAACATACAGCTTACCAGCCTTATCTGTGTTTAACACCCTAGAAGCTCAGCATTACTCAACCATCACGACAAAACGGTCCTTTTCTGGACCATCATAAAATTGTAAAAGAGTATTTTTTGAACATTGAATCGGATGTCAGTTCCCATATTAAGATAGATCTGGAATTAGGACGTAACAGATTTTGTAAACAATGACTTCTTTCGATGATGTCTTGAAAGTCAAGGTTCGCCCACGCAAATCAACAACACCATCAGGTAGGGCAAGACTTCCCCTACCCGGCGGTAATGTTGGTTTGCATGGTTGTGCCTTGAATTCCTAAAAATCATCGAGAGAAGTCATTGTTTACAACAACTGTTTACAACAACATTGGGGGTTCAATTTCAAAAACCAAAGTCGGTTGCGGCTACTTTCATGTCTGATTTTGATCCAGAGATGATGGATTTTAATTCTTAATACGCCAATCGATAGTAATTTTTTCTACGAAATTGTTTAAATTAAGTCTATCATTTTTCAAGAAGTCACTATTGAAAATTGCACGAATGTGCAACTGTTTATAGTTAAAATTATCACCGAATGCCTGCGAAAAGCGATTTCCCTTACTCAGATTTCAAAATTGAGTTCTATCCGGTCTCGCCAAACGGTGTTTATTCAATCACCGCGTGGCTCCATTACACAACGAAAAACTGCCTGCAGGAATCGATCTGCAGCCCACATGATCATCCATAGAAGGAGGAAGAAGCCGCGCCGCTGATTGGAATCAGTAGCTCTTCGTGAGTTGCTGTGGGCCATCTATGTCAAGTGCGTCATACTAAAGAGTATAAACAGAGAGTACCCCACTCAAATTCCTATTCCAAAACACAAAACACAAGCTCCTGCTGCAGTTAACAAATTAGATTTATTCTATAAGACCACGTAGTCCTACGTCACCATTGCGTACAACACCATAGGGTTGGTCCTTGTAGTTTTATAAAAATATTAGATAAATTTTAAGAAAATCACGTTAAACTTAGTGCAGAATTAGACAGAAGTTAGGTTTTACAAACATTTTAGGAATTTAGTTATGAAGAAAATAGTGCAAGTGGAACTTAAACTGGTTGACAAATGATAGAGTTACGATGATTCCAGTAAAAGTCGTTTCTTAAAGGTCAAAAATACACCTTCCAGACATTTACGCCACCTCTAAATCTAAATATTTTTGCCTAGCCAAGCCATTTTGAAAAAGAAAAACGAACGAATTTAAGATTCGAAAAATTAGCCGCACCCTATTGTGCATTGAGCCAGCATCTACCAGCAGGAGATTTCAGAAATAACTGAAACTCGTGCTAGTTGCTTTAGCTGTATGAGTGAACTAGCATAAGTGTAAACAGCCCATTATCATAAAATTGGTTAGAATACTGGGCCACGGAACCTTTGAATCACCATTGTAGGAATGGTCCGAATCAGTAGTTTACTTGAGCGGTAAGCGGGATTTCATTAGTGACAAATTCTTTGAAAAATAGTTAAAATTTACATCACTCATCAAGGTCATGAGCAAAAATCTCATCCCTTGTATGTTGCGTCTGAAGTTCATTAGGTATTGATTAGTCTACTGATAAAGCAACCGGGTTCAGAGAAATATGAATGTTGCAATAATATTGTGTTGGTTCCTTGACTGATAACCCACAGTATGACTCTATAAAACAACTTTCTTTCTCAGAATTTGCAGTCGCAGTTCTTATACGACGTCTAGATCAGCATCGTCGAGAGAATACTGCGAGAAGTGCGATTCAGTATGGGATTAGAACTGCTGCGAGGCAGAGTGGTGTGTTCAAAAATAGTGACTTTTGAATATTTGATGGATTTTCTGTGGAATTATGTGCCGCGATTAGAACATACAGTCTTCGTCACTTATCTTTCCGGTTTCCTTGACGGATGATTGTTGATGTAAACAAAGTAATAACCGTGCGAACGTTTGTCCATATCACGGCCTACTTGAATTCCTATCTCTTCCCCGTTGCAGCGAGAGTGACAAGTTCCGCTAAAACGTGACACTGATCTAAATTTCAACCCCATTTTTTCATCCTTTCAGCTTTCCATCGTTGACAACCGTGTGTGGGGAAAAAAGTGAAAAACTGATAGAACAAAACAGAGGAAAACTGATCCTAGTGAAACAAATTGCCAATACGAAAAAAAAATCACCCCTTTGAAAAGAAGAAAAGCTCCCAAAGTGTTACAACACATACACGCAAGCGGGGTGAGAGCGAGAAGCCATCACTCCCCTTCGAGTGAGAGTGAGCAGGTCCCAAATGGGCCAAAGGGAAAACAGCGTGAGTGTTTTGGAAAAGTGACAAAAACGGCGTTTGGTGGTGCGTCTGTGTGTTAGTGAAGGTAATGCGATTAGAACTTTTTCGCCAGTGAAACAACAGTGAGTGCACAGAGCGAGAGATCGATCGAGAAAGAGTGAGGGAGTGAGTGAGAGCGGGAAGCTCTCGCACCAGTGTGGTGAGACCAAGATGGCGTCGGCGCCTAAAGTTATTCCAGCAGCAGCAGCAGGTCAGGAGGAGCAAGCTGCTCTTCGTGCCCCTTCCAGCAGCAGCTGCACCGTCAACGGACGCCATCGTTCTCGGTTCTACAACTGTCAGCAGCCCAGCTGCTCCTGCTCCACCTCCCCCAACTCCAGCGAATGCATCCGGCACAGTCGTAACAATAATCATAATCGCAATAATAATAACCGTAACAGTTGCAACCGTCGCCGCCGACGGTTAGATCTTATGAGTGCGTCTCGAGTGTGGCTGTCGGTGGGCCTGGTCCTGGGCTATCTCGGGTGCCTGGGAGCCGGTTTCGTGCTGGATGGATCGCAGAATAGCTTCGCCCAGTTCCGGAAGTGGTACACCGGACTGAATGGCACCCTGGAGCTGGAGTTTAAAACCGAACAGCCGAACGGGTTGGTGCTCTACACCGACGACGGGGGGACGTACGACTTTTTCGAGCTGAAACTGGTGGAGGGGGCACTGAGGTTACGCTACAACTTGGGTGGTGGAGCGCAGATTATCACCGTCGGGCGGGATCTGCACGACGGACACTGGCACAAGGTTCAGGTGAGTAGCAGCGTCTATTGTGGGTTGTTTTGGTGGTGGGGGAATGAATTTCTAATTAGGAACCTACGCGGAATTTTATGAATGTCGGTGAATGCGTTGGAATCCCTGATGATGGAGGAATTTCTAGGAGGAGGGACAATTTGCGCGGGTGCATGCATTGTTAATAACAGTTAGCTTCGTGGAAGTGCTGACCATTCTACTGGAATGGGCTTCCGGTAAGTGAGAAAAATTTGCTACCTTAATTTCTGCTACGGATCGAATTTAAATATTCTGTAGGGGATGACGGAGTAAGACCGCCACCCTAAACAATAAATTGTGTAGCTCTGAATGAGCGGGAAATATCACATTTTGCTATGCTACATTTGAATTAGCGTTCCCCTGATAAAAAAAATGTATGGCTTTATTGCTAAACTACGTGTTAAGGGTATTATAGACATCATTTGTGGAATAGTTCTACCATTCCGGTTATCGTTCGTGTATGGTATTTGTTTATTAAAGTCAGTTACCTACACACAACATTTTTTAAATTTTCTTATTCATCACATTTTCTTAAATTTCCATCAATTTTTCGAACGAAAAAATGACTGCTTCTTTAACAAGCGGGGCAAAAATGGACAAAACCGTGACTTTAATGAATATATCGGCTGACAAACGGTTTCAGACAACATGTTGTACATACACAAAAACTCTGCTGAATAGATTGGTGGCACTCTCATTGGCCGGAGACTGTTGCCTGCTGAGATAAAAGGCCGGGATCAACCCGAGTTCCCAATCAAATAGGAAATGCCACTGATATATTACTGAAAATTTGTAGCACCAACAATCAATACGAAACTAACGATTTTAAATTGGCTCACTACTTGACTAGCCTATTGGTCCCAAGCAAATCGATTAAGGTATCCTATTCTAGTCAAAATGCTAGTATTACACAATGTTTGTTTTGATTAGCTATGAAATTTTGACAGATAAAATGAGGGGTTATTGGATTTTCCTATGTTTCGAGGGGTGAATCGACTAGCTTGGGATCGAAGATAGTACCAGAGCTGAGCCAAAAAGTTGAGCACGTTTCTTCGGGACCTACTAGTCTTAGAGTTACCTCTATGGTAGCACTAAGTATATATGGTGTAACGACACCATACACATCCTCGACAAAGTGGCAAATTATTTAAATTGTCCAAGATCCTTGCAAGTTTTTCTTTATCACCGTCGGGTTTCAGAATAGCAAGTTAAAAGCCTATTTCATATGGAAATGATATTTTGAGATAAAGTGGCCATATCATGGTTCTCCATTTTGTAAACAAACCTTGTAAGGACATTTTCTCGCAAACCGAAACCTACATTCGCAAACCAAAAACACAATCGGGTAGAAGAGAATTTCACATACTTGTTCATTGTGTTGGTTTGCGTTGGCGGACTTCGGTTTGCGACAACAAGGCCTTTTTTCCGTGTTGGGTATTTTGATCACTGCGATTAGTACTTAGATCTATTGTGATATATTCCCCGTTTTAATATTGCTTTATCAGCATGCAGCAGGAAAGCATTTTCCCAGTCAGGTATTACATTTCGAATGAATTGCACTACTTGGCTGGAAACTGAATTCCAAATATCATAGCGTTCTGTCAGAAAAAAATCCGCCTCTTATTGAAGATTGCTGTACAACAGCATAGCAGGTGTTCAGAGTCTTCGTTTTCTATGCCACATAATCGACACATGTCATCTTGAAGTTTTCCTATTAGCTTCAAGTGATATTTACATGGACAGTGCCCTGTTATTAAACCAGTATACATACTGAGATCTTTCTTTGATAGTTCAAGAGTTTTGCTAGTCATTGAAATGCTCGGATTAATAAACCGATTCGACTGCCTAGCAATGAGAGTGTTATTCCAATTGAACTCCATTCTAAGAGAGCAAGCAGAAACTCCACAGATTGGTTCTGGTCCTAAAAAATGTTTAGATGATCCAAGCCTAACTAGTGTGTCGGTTTTCTCATTCCCTTGAATTCCGCAGGAACCCAAAATAGGTTCTCTTGGTTTTGACAGGCCAATTTTTGGAGTGACATTACACATTCTCACACAAGTTTAGAATTACATGTTGCTGATTTCAAAGCATTTAGTGCTGCTTGGCTATCCGACATAAGGCAGATATTCGAATGTCTTTCATTTCTACGCAAGCAAATTTTAGAACATTCAATAATTGCTTGGACTTCTGCTTGGAACACGGTAAGCCAGTAGCCCATAGATATTGAGATATTTATTCCTGGACCTGTTACCCCTACTCCTACACGATTATTCAATCTAGAGCCGTCTGCATAAAAGACAATTGATTCTGCACGAATGTTTGGTCCCCCATTGTTCCACAAATCGTGATCCGCATCTGCTACATTGTAAAGACGATCGAAGTGATATTTTTTCTTCATCCAATCTTCATTTTGTATCACAAGAGAATCAATATTGAACATTTTTAGGATGCTCATATGTCCTCTAAGATCACCTTCAAGGAAGTGCTGTGACCGTTGGATCCTTAATGCACTCCTTTCGGCTTCTAATTGAGTAAATTGATGCAACAGAAGCAGATAAAGTAGAGCATCTAGTGCCATACTTGGTGTGCGCTCATTGCTCCAGTTATTGAGAGAGTAGCTAGCCTTTGCAGCCTCCCCAGCTTCTTCTGAGCTAATTTTTCATTGGTTTTAGGCCACCAAACCAATGATGCATAGCTTATTCTGGGTCTTACAATCGTCAAATAAATCCAGTGGATCATTTTAGGTCCCCATTTCCTACCAAAAGTTGTTTTACTTATCCAAAGAGCAACAATTACTAATTAATGACTTGTTCTAGATGCGAATTCCAATTTAGTTTGCTGTCAAAAGTAACTCCCAAATACTTGACTGTGTTTGAAAGTTCTAAAATTATTCCTTTCAGTTCAATACTATTTATGGACATTTTTTGACGTAGGACTACGTCTGTGATTTCTATATGGGGGTACACTTTCTGAAAACCAAAAATAGAACATGTAACAAAATTATGAAAGATTTTGAACGTTAATAACTCAGCTGCCCCTGAACCAATTTCAATAATTTTATCACCAATCGATAAGAAATATTTCTACGCATCTGTTAAATTTAAGACTTATCATTTTACAAAACGACACTATTAAAAATTGCAAGAATGTGTAACTGTTGCTATAAAAAACATTTGGTAATAAATGGGGACTGAAACCTAAAATGATCGATTGGATCTATAAGGCTATAATAAGACCCAGAATAACATATGCATCATTAGTTTGGTGGCCAAAAACAAAAGTAAATATGCTCAAAAAAAACTCGAAAAGTTGCAAAGACTTGCTACAATTTCCATCACAGGAGCAATTCGTAGCACGCCCTCTAAAGCGCTAGATACAATGCTAAATCTGCTTCCCTTACATATATTTGTGCAGTTAGAAGCCGAAAGAAACGCACTAAGGTTAAAAAGAACAAAACAGTTTTTTGATGGGGACGTTAGGGGTCATCTCAGTATTTTGAAGGAATTTAAAATTAATTCTTTATTAACTCATGAAGACTGGATGAATAGACAGTACAACTTTGAAAGACTATTCAACGTCACTGAACCTAGTCGCACTGAATGGGAATCAGGGGGACCTAGTATTCAACCAGGATCAGTAATTGTCTACACTGATGGATCCAAATTAAACAACAGAGTTGGCGCTGGGGTAACGGGTCCTGGTGTCAACATATCAATATGTATGGGTAAGTGGCCAACCGTATTTCAAGCAGAAATACAGGCAATTATTGAATGTGCTACGGTTTGTTTATGTCGTAATTACAAACATACAAATTTATATATTTTCTCTGACAGTCAAGCTGCCCTAAAAGCATTGAGGTCAGTTACATGTTGTTCTAAACTGGTTTGGGAATGCATTCAATTACTACAGCAGGTGGCTAAAAATAGTACAGTTAACTTATTTTGGGTACCTGGGCACTGTGGGGTTGAAGGTAATGAAAATGCTGATTTATTAGCAAGATTGGGATCATCAAAACCATTCCTAGGTCCAGAACTATTTTGTGGGGCCTCAGAATGTACCCTCAAAATAGAACTAAAAAACTGGGAAAAATCGATGATAGATAACATTTGGAAAAACACTAAAATAGCTCGACAGTCCAAAAGATTTATATCACCTAATAAAGGAGCAACTCAAAGACTTCTTAGTCTCTCCAAAAAAGATCTATGTACTTTTAGTGGCCTAGTTACGGGCCACTATTCAAGTAAATATTATTTAAAACAGCTAGGCAAATTGGAAGATGACAAGTGTCGATTCTGCAACCTAGAGAGTGAAAACTCGGAACATTTACTATGTAACTGTGCAGTACTTTTTCATAAAAGGAAAACTTTTTTCGATAAGCGTTTAATACAGCCCTCAGAAGTATGGATGACTCATCCCAGTAAGGCAATAAAGTTCATTCGTTCTATAATGCCTTACTGGGACAATGCCTATAGTCAGCTAGTGGAAATCACTCAAACAAATAGTGATACAACACCCTGATGTGGCATACATTAAACCGGGGCCCGCCACAATAGATCAAATAACTGGTCGCAGTGGAAAAATGTACCCAAAAAAAGGAAAAAAAAAACTGTTGCTACGATAATTGAAATTATCACCGCTAGCGTCCGAAAAGCGATTTCCCTAACACTTATTTAAAAAATGAATACCATCCGGTCTCACCAAATGGTGTTTATTCAATCACCGCGTGGTGAGTGATGGTTTTCTCCAGTACACAAAGAAAGGCTCCCCGCAAGCAGTTAGCTATCAAGGCTGCCCACAACCGCTGATCGAATTCAGTTCCAATCACCTTGTGTGGTGGTGTCCGGTCGTCGGCATCAGCAGCAGCATTGCTTTCGGTGCGTGACGTTAAACATTGTTCTCCAGTACACAAAGAAAGGCTGCCTGCAAGCAGCGAGCTGCAGTTCACATGACAATCCATAGAAGGAGGAATAAGCCACACCGCT